TCCAAGACGCGAACCGTGGTAGGCCATATGGGAATCCAGCACCCTTAACCACCACGCCACCTGCCAGCCCCAAGAATTATTTATCTAAATTTATTTATTTATTTTTAATTTGCCCAGAGAGAGCGAGAAAGAAAGCAAGTGAGAAAGCAAGCTGCCAGGTCCGAGACTTGAACCCCCGTTGGCCATGTGAGAGTCCAGTGCCTTCACCACCGGGTCACTGGCCAACCCCTTATTATTTAACTTGACCAGAGAGAAAGTGAGAACGCAAGCCAGCCAGGTCCAGGACTCGAACCGCAGTCAGCCATGTGGCAATCTCGCTTCTTCACCACCATGCCACCTGGCAGCTTTGGAGTGGCTTTTTCTGTTGGCGTGTGTGTATTGGGGTGACTGTTACCTGCTGGTGTGCGTGTGCATATGTGTGTTGGGAGTCTGTCCGTGTCGGTGTGCACGTGTATGCCAAGACTGCGTGTGAGTGTCGCTGACCTCAAGCCCACGTGTCAGGGGTGTCCTTCTGTGACAGCAGCGGTGGCCTGGGGAGGGTGGACGTGTGTGGCATGTGGTGTCTGTGACCCCCCTGAAGGGATGGGGTCTGGTCAGGCAGGGTTGAGAGCCTATCTGAGAATCTCAGCGCATCTCTGAGTATCCCAGGGGGCCTGCTGTCCCGCCGCCAGCCTGGAGGGGGCGGCAGAGAGCAATAAGCCCAGTTCCCAGCCCTGTCCCTGGCAGCCCTGGAGTCCTCACTGGAACGTAGGGGGGCCATCAGCCTCCCCGGGGGGCCTGGCAATAGGGCAGCCTCGGGAAAAATTTAATGGCAGCCCCGTGGGCAGCGCGGGGGGCTCAGCAGCCCAAGGCTGGGGCTCTGCACCTCCTGTGCACACCATCTTCATGGCCAACCCACACCCGGGGGTCAAGCGCCAAGCCCTCAGGAGCGTCCAGGTCCCAGATAAACCCCAGGAGACGCCCAGGGCGGTGACACCACACCGAGTGCCCAGCCCTGCCCAGTCTGAGCGCCAGGCCGGCCTGGCAGGTAGAGAAGGCTCTGAGCCTCAGACCGGCCCAGTTCAGATCACAGCTCGGTTCCAGGGTGTCCTGGCCTCGGTGGCCACAGGTGTGAGACGGGGAGGTGACAGTGCCGCCCTGACCCCCGTGGAGGGGATTAGAGGTGACTGTGCAGGTGGGGCCCTTGGCACCAGGCAAGAGCTCAATAAATGTGAGAGTATTTCCTGTCCCGCCCTACTTCCCTTTTGGACCGCCCCATCCCCCAGTGTCCTGTGGCTGCCCTGACAGCCTGTGACACATCCACGCAGAGCAGCCCCACCCTAGGGCTCCCTGCTACAAGTCCCCTCCGCTTTCCCCATGCTGAGCTAGGCTCTGGACTGTCGGCTTGAAGCCTTCATTTACCCTTCATCATGAGCCAGTGATGCAGAAAAAACAAGTGTCTGGCTCTAATTCTCACTAGGATGTGAGTGACTGATACAACGTGATCTCTCAAGGTAGCCAGCAGTTCAAAAGCAAAGGATCTTTAATACCTCCAGCCAGCAGTGTGGCCAGTTTTTTGTTTTGTTTTGTTTTGTTTTGTTTTTTGATTGATTTTTGCTATAAGGCATGTGTGCTCACCAGGGAGGCAGAAAGAGACAGAAAACAAGAAATTGCCACCCACCCAGGGGGGATGATCACATTGCAATTCCTTCTCCATTCTCTTCTTGGGATTTTGGGCATGTGCCCACACGCGCCCGGTGTGAGTTTCAAGCCGCTGGGTCTGGGACTCGAACCTCGGTTGGCCAGGTGGGAGTCCAGCAACATAACCATTATGCCATCTGCTGCTCCCTTTTTTGTTTTGCTTTTCTTTAGTTTTCTGCAGAGGCTGAGCATGCTCCCCAGAGAGAGACAGAGAGAGAAAAAAAGCGAGAAATCACCCCCCAGGGGGATGGCCACGCCACAATGCCTTCTCCTCCATTCTCCTCTCGAGATCTTGGGCACGCACGCACACGCGCCCGGTGTGATTTTTTTTAAGCCACCAGGTCTGCCACTTGAACCACAGTCAACCATGTGGGAGTGCAGAGGCTGAGCATGCTCCCCAGAGAGAGACAGAGAGAGAAAAAAAGCGAGAAATCACCCCCCAGGGGGATGGCCACGCCACAATGCCTTCTCCTCCATTCTCCTCTCGAGATCTTGGGCACGCACGCACACGCGCCCGGTGTGATTTTTTTTAAGCCACCAGGTCTGCCACTTGAACCACAGTCAACCATGTGGGAGTCCAATGCCTCAACTTCCACACCACCTGCTAGTCTGTTGTTTTTTTGGTTTTTGAGTTTTTTTTTTCTTAGCACAGTGGGTGAACTTGGCCTCAAATCTGGGCTGGGTTCTCTTCTAGCTTTGTGATTTGGAGCATCTTCCTGGATTCTCTGAGCCCTCAGTGTTCTCTTCTGTGAAACAGGGTCAGACAGCGCTTTCTGACGGCCGGGCGTGGGACGGAAGATCCCAGAGTTCCAAAGCTGAAACCAGTGGCCACTCCTGCAAGGAAAAGAAGTGAGAAATGATAGGGACCAACTCACGCCGGGCGCGTGTGTGTGCGTGCCCAAGATCCCGAGAGGAGAGTGGAGGAGAAGGGATTGCGGCGTGGCCATCCCCCCGGGGGGTGATTTCTCGCTTTCTGTCTGTCTCTCTGGCAAGGACACGCGCCCTATAGCAAAAATTTCTCTTTTTCTTGTTAAACAATTATTTTATTTAACTTTGGTTATTTACTTATTTATTTTAATTTGACCAGAGAGAGACAGAGTGAGAGAGAGAGAAAGGGAAAATGAGAAAGCAAGCCGCCAGGTCCAGAACTTAGACCATGGTCAGCCATGTGGGGGTCCAGTGCCCTTAACCACCAACCCACTTGCGTGCCCCCAGAAATCTCTCTTAAAAAAACAGGAAGTGAGGGACCAGCAGTTGGCCTAATGGCTACATTGCTGGACTCCAACGTAGTTGACCACAGTTCAAGTCCCAGACCCAGTAGCTTAAACTCACGCCAGGCGCATGTGTGTGTGTGCCCAGGATCCCAAGAGGAGAATGGAAGAGAAGGGATTGCGGTGTGGCCATCCTCTCTGGGGGGGTGATTTCTCACCTTCTTTCTCTCTGTCTCTCTGTCTCTCTCTCTCTCCTTCTAGCGAGTGCACATGCCCTATAGCAAATACCTCTCAA